CTCTCCTTCCTGTCTCCTCTGTCTCTCTATCCCTATCTCCCTCTTTCTATCCCTCTCTGTCTCTCTCTATCCCCCCCTCTCCTTCTGTCCCTTTCTCTCTCTCCTCTCTTGTCTTTCTCTCTCTGTCCCTCTCTCTCTTTCCTCTCTTTCTTTCTCCTCTCTATCCCTGTCTCTCTCTCTGTCTCTCCTTCTTTCTCTCTATCCCTCTCTGTTTCTGTCTCTCCAGGGTGTTCTACAAGTCTTAGTACAGTTTCAAGCTATTAAAATCACTTAATGGGATCAGTGACACCTTTAGCTTGGGGATTTCCTTCTATCCACACGGATCTATGATTTAGCAGCTAAGTCTTAAGGAGATGCCAAAGGCACATGGGAAGTAATTTACTCCACTAGGAGTTACAAAGATAGCAAGTGTCAGAGGTGGGATTCAAACCCAGTTTTCCCGGTTTTTCCTAAGCCCAAACCCAACGCTACCCACTAAGCCAGGTGTTATTGTTCAGTTGCCTGACTCTTCATGACCCCATGGGCCAAACTGTCCGTAGCGTTTTCTTGGCAGAGATACTGGAGTGATTTGTCATTTCCTTCTACAGTGGATTAAGGCAAACAGAGGTCAAGTGACTTGTCCAAGGTCACCCAGCTATTAAATCTCTCAGGCTGGATTTGAATTCAGGTCTTTCTGACTCCAGGCCCAGTACTCTATTCACTGAGCTGCCTTTACTAAGACAGGTAGCCTCACATAAACCTTAAAACATCATAAAAATGTGAGAAGTTATTGTTAGCCCAGTGCATTTGAGGGGAAAGATGAATAGCAGTGGAGGAGGTATTGCTGGGTTACATGGATAGAACCAGATGGGGTCACAGGGGCAGAGGGAAGCAAGAGAGAGTCCAGAATTTGGAGTTAAAGGACTGGGTTCAAATCCCAACTACTTCCTTGCTGTGTGACCTTGGACAAGTAACTTCAACTCTGCTTCAATTTCTATATCTATGAAATGAAGGGATAAGATGCACTGCAAAGGTCCCTTGCAGCTCTAAACCTGTAGTTCTAAGCTCTTACAGCATCCTATGATAAAGTGGCAAGGGCCCATAGGATTGGATGCTAAAAGAGAGGGCCTTTAGAACAGCCAGTCTGGGGCCTGTGACAGTCAGCCTCCCCGTGCAGCCTGATTCCTATCTACTCCCTCCCTGCAGCCAAACATACCTATTTGCTGCTCCCCATTCAGGACATTCCATCTTCAGGACTCAGGCCATTACAAAGAATGCTCTTCTCCCTTCTCCCTTGACTGGTTGAAGCCTCCTAGCTCCCTTCAAAGCAAGGCTCATTTAAAAAAAAAAATTGATAACTATTTCAATATAATTGGCCTCCTTTGTAATCCTAATGCATTTTGTCAGTCAGCCAGCTAGCATATATTAAGCACCTACTGCATGCCAGCCACTGTGTAAAGTGCTGGGGACACAAAGAAAGGCAAAAAAAGAAAACCCCAGTAATTAAATAAAACAACTCAAACTCGGAGAGTGTCCATGGGCTTCTTCACTAGACTGCCAGAGAGGTCCAGGACGTAGGTGGTTAAGAAGCCCTGCCTTAAGACTTAGTTCAAATGCCAGCTTCCTGATCCCCTCCAAGGCTACTGACTTCCCCCTTCAAAAAAATCACTTTGCATTTATTTTGGATATTCCTGTGTTTCCTGATCAGTGAACACATGGTGTCCCATAGGGACGGTCTTTCTCGTAAGGAGGCTTGTAGGATAAACCATTGAACTCAGAGTCATGAAAACCTGAGTTCTATTTTTGCTTCAGGGGATTACTAGCTTCTGCCACCCTAGGCAAGTCACTTAACCACAATTTCCTCATCTTGTAAACTGTGGATAATAATAGCTTCTTCCCCATTGGATTGTTGTGAGAGCAAAGGAGGAGATAATGTGCAAAGTGCTTTGCAGACTGAATGTGTCCTTGCTGAGCCCTGTGACCCTTCTTGGTGTTTTCTTGACAGAGATACTGGAGTGGTTTGCCATTTCCTTCTCCAGCTCGCTTTACACATGAGAAAACTGAGGCAAGCGGGGGGAAGTGACTTGTCCAGGGGCACACAGCTAGTATCTGGGGTCAAATTTGAACTTGGGTGTTTCTGACTCCAGGCCCATTGAACTATTCATTGCCCCACCTACCTGCCCCTTAACCACATATGTAGATGTGAGTTATTATGTGCATTCTTAGGGTCTGGCTGTAGGAGACACAGATTCTTTATGACTAAGGGTCCTTAGAATAGGGGATGTTAGAGGTGAGACTGTCTGGTGGAGAAGAATCTTAGAATGTGGAATGTCATAGCTGAGAAGGTAACTTAGAACAGGGGCTGTAAGAGCTGGGAAGGAGCTTAGAATGTAGAATGTCTGAACTAGGACGTAACCCAGAACAGGCAATGTCAAAGGTAGGAGGGGGCTGAGAACAGAGAATGTCAGAGCAGGGAGGGTTTTAGAACATGGAATATCTGAGCTAGGAGGTAACCTAGAACAGGCAATGTCAAAGGTAGGAGGGGGCTGAGAACAGAGAATGTCAGAGCAGGGCGGGTTTTAGAACATGGAATGTCAGGGGCGGGGGATTATCTCCAATTTCATGTTTGTACACAGTTGTTTGCCTATTTTCTCTTGCCCTGGGCTATGAGCTGGAGTGCCTGGCACGCAGCTGGCGCTCAATAAATGCCCGTTGCCTTGATCTTAGCACAGGGTACTTCGGCCGAGGCTGGGAGGGTGTCCACCCTTCCCTTGGCCTGGAGAGGTGAAGCCGCTGGCCCAAGGTCACACAGACCCAGGGGAGCCTCGCTCTCGTGACCTCGGACCCATCACCGGCCTCCCAGGGAGCAGGAGCGGCGGGGGGAGGGGAGACGCCGGCTCAGGAAGGCGCCCGGGGGGTTCCGGTGGGACTCGAAACCTTCTAACCTCAGCAGCCTCTTCGGGGAACTGACTCCGCCCCGCCCCTCGGGAGGAAGGAGGGGGTCGCGCGGAGAGGCGGGACCTGTTACCCGGGCAACGCAGTGGCGGGGCCTCCCTCTCTCCCTCCCCCGCCTAGCCACGCGTTTCCGCCGCGCTGGACCTCTCTGATTGGGCGACTGTCAGCCGGTACCAATCGACGCTCCCGCCCTTGTGGGGACCGGATGCTCCGAATGCCCGCGTGCCCGCCCCCTTTCATTCATTCCCGCCACAGCGCTTAATCGGCTCCCACCACGCGCCGAGCCGCAGGCGGGGACTGGGGACCCCGGCTCCCTCTCTCCTCCCCAGCCTGGGTCCCGGCCCTCTGGGGTTGAGGGGAAAGATGCCACCTTCAGGTAGTTTCTCCGAGGAGAGGAACGGTGGCCCGCTTAGCCCATACCGGGAAATTCCCGCGCCGGCCGGGCCCCCCAGTCACATCCCCTTAGGAGGCTGACGTCCCTGGAGGTGGGAGGCCGGGAGCCCATTCGTCGGCATCCGGGGTGAGGGGGGTAATGGAGAGGGGGGAAGGCAACCGGAAGTGCTGGCGACGTGTCCGCGTGCCCCCCCTCTCCCCGGTCGCTCAGCCCTCCCTCCTCCTTTCTTCCATTGGGCGGCGGGCTCTCCTCCGAGGGCGCCCTGGCCGCCACTTCCGCATCCCCTCCCCAACCGCTCCAACCGAACTCCCTCCCCGCGCGTTCCCCCCAGCGCCTCGCGGTTGGGCTGGCGCCCGGAGCCGGCCACGCCCCCTGCCCGCGCCGCGGCCAATGGGGAGGCCGCTCCCGGCGGGGGCCGTGGGTAATTAATGAGCGTCGGGCGCCGATTGGCTGCCGGCGGCGGCCGGGGCCGGGTTCGGTTGTGCCCGAGGTAGAGGTAGGAGTCTGAGACCGAGACGGAGGCGGCGGCGGCGGCGGCGAGCGGGGGAGCGAGAGAGGGAGCGAGCGAGCGAGCGAGCGAGAGAGCGAGACATGTCCTGGGCGGCCGCGGCCCTGGCGGCGGGCGGAGCTGGGCGCTGCTGAGGAGCCGAGCCCCTTGCGGCGGGAGGAGCCGGGCCGGGGCCCCCCGCGATGCTGCTGGGCGCCGGGGCGAGGGCGGCACTGCTGCCGCTGCTGCTGCTGCAGCTGCTGCCGCTGCTGATGACGGTGCTGCCCCGGCTGCCCCTGCTGCCCCTGCTCCTGCTGGGCCTCGGCGGCGCCGTCCCCGGGGCGGCCGCGGTGGCGGGGCTCGGGCTGCCCGAGAGCGTCATCTGGGCCATCAACGCGGGCGGCGAGGCGCATGTGGACGTGCACGGGATCCACTTCCGCAAGGACCCTCTGGAGGGCCGGGTGGGCCGAGGTGAGGCTGCCGGTCTGGCCGCGCCGCCACGTGCGCCCCGCCCCCGGGCCTCGGTTTCCCCGGCTGGAGAGGGAGCCCTTAAGACCCCCAACAGCTGTGTGATCTCGGGCCGCCGGGCCTCAGTTTCTCCGCCTGTAAGAGGAGGGGGCTGCCTCAGGTGGGCCTTGAGGTCCCTTCTGTGTGACATTGGGCCCCTCCAGCCTGGATCAGAGCCCCTTCCTGCTTTAAAGTCCGGGATCCCTGAGCCCGCCTTGGAGGCCGGAGCAAAGCGACCATCCGCGACGCCCGGGGTGGGTGTGGGGGTATGCTCGGGCTTGGCTCTTGGGTGCAGGAGGGGCGCACTGGGGTCCTCAGCAAACCATCTAGAGCTCTAGGTCACCCCCCCAATTTTACATTTGGAAGAAACTGAGGCTCGGAGAGAAGAGAGTTGCATATGGTGGCACAAGGTTGTAAAAACGGCAGACTCCGGTCGGTCCCAGGGGCCGGGGGCCAGCCGTGGGGCTCGCCAGTAGGCTTGTGGTTGCAGTGTATTTCCGGCCTCTAATAACCGACTAACTGGGGTGCCCTTTTACGGCCCAGATCTAGGCCTCCGGGGCTTGGGCCTGGGGTGGGGGAGCCTCTCTGCTCTGCTGAAGTGCCCAGAGCTGCCTCAGTTTTACCCTGGATGGGACCCTCTCCCAGGTGGAGTCTCGGGTTGGAGCGGGGCTCCTGGGGCTGGCCCTTGGCAGCTGAGCGATCAGGCCTCTTTTTGAGTTGAGGAAGTTTGATAAATGCAGAATAAACGTGAGTGAACCTGAGACTGGATGGCAGCCAGTCTTGGAAATGGGGACGTTTTCTGTTAACTGGTCAAGTGTAACTGGCTCCACAGAGCAGTGTGCCCAACTCCTGCTTCTTTCTGTGGGCTCGGGAAGTTCCACGAGATTGGTGTTGTACCATGAGGGCAAAGGCTGCCAGACTGGCAATAGGCCTCTTTCAGAGGGCCAGAGCCGGCCTCCTTTGGGCTTCTAAGTTAAGTGGGGTGTCTGGTATCTGTTCCACCACCAGGTGGGCAGACACTTTACTACCTGTCTGGGTGGCCGGAGGTAGGGCTCTCTAGAAAGTTTGGCCTGCTGTTTTCTTTCCTTCTGGCTTGCTTGTCCTAACAGCTTCTGGTTCCTGTAGTGCATGCCTGCCACGCAGAAACTGAAGTGGGCTTCGGGGCCAGAGCCCTGCCTTGTCTGTCTGTGTGTTAGATCCACCCTTCTTCCTGTCCTGGGGGTAGGAACCGCCCTGGAGGACTCAAGAAGCCGTTTGCAGACCTTATCTCCTGAGATAACTGCTGGATAAGGCCGTGTTTTAGATTGCACAGTTCTTTTTGCTAGAAGATGTGGAAGCCTGAATGGTCTAGTTCATTCAACCTAGAGAAACTAAAGACGTGGGCCATTAATGGAAAAAATCTAATTGGCTGGGACCGCACAGAACCAGGGGCCCCTCCCAGTGTCCATGTAGTCAATTGTTACAGGCTATCCTGGCTGAAAGATTCTGCCCCTAATTTGCAGGTGCTCTACCAGCTGGCTTTTTATTAAAGCTAGCAGCAGATGCACTTGGACTGTCTGACACCCCGTCCTCAGTCCCAAGGAGTTCCCAACCCTTGGCTTTTGGGGACCAGAATTGTTAATGGAAGAGAAAGCCTGGCACTAAGTTATTGGCTCATGTTGGAAGTCGCTCACTGGAAGTTGGTTATTGTGGATGCCATTAGACAAGGCCTGCAGAGGTCCATGTACACTGAATTGCCACTCCAGACTTTGGTCCCACCATGGCAACTCCTAGCTTGGGGGCCACCCCTTTTGGCTGCTTTCCCAGCCTCCATAAACTATAGTCTTCAGTGGGGGAGTAGGAGAGTGTTTTGCTGGGAGCCACATTCCTTAACCTGTGTCTTCAGAGAAAGTATCTACCCACTGGACCAGAAACAGAAAAACAGTATTTTTAATCCTTTTTCTGGCCACTGGGTTGGGAGTTGAGGCTTCAGGCCTCCTTGCAGGAGGATGTCCAGTCCTTTTCTTTACTGAGGCTGGGAGAAGCTGGGCCATTGTTTACTTTTTGTTCCTTTTCTCCCTCCCTCCCCCTTCGCTTGGCAGCCCTTCTTGGAAGTCGAGGGCAGTGCCAGGTGTTGAGAGAGTTAGTGTGCTGAAGCAGAAAGAAGAATGGGCCAGGGTGCAGGACACCTGGGTTTTCTCTAACGCTGGCCAAGTCCTAAGCTTCTCCTTTACCTTCCATCTACTCCACCTGAATCAGACTGTATCTGGTGACTCCTCCTCTAGACTTGGGCTCCTTGAGGCCAGGGACTAGATTTGCCTTGCTTTGTATTCTCAGCCCTTAGCACAATGCCTGACATGTAGGAGGTGCTTCATAAATGGCTTGTTGATTGATGTTTCCCCATCTGTAAAATTTTTTTGGTTAGTTAGTCATGTCCAACTTTTGGTGACCCATTTGAGTGACCTCATTTGGGGTTTTCTTGGCAAAGATAGTAGAGTGGTTTGCCATTTCCTTCTCTAGCTCATTTGACAGATGAGGAAACTGAGGCAAACAAGGTGAAGTGACTTGTCCAGGGTCACTCAGCTAGTAAGTGTCTTGAGGCTAGATTTGAATTCAGGTCTTCCTGACTCCAGGCCTTCACCACCTAGTTGCCTGTCTGTAAAACTGTCAAAATAAAGCATTTGCCTTAGCTCGACTGAGAAAATCAGTTGAAAGAAACTTTGTGTGAAAGAGCTTTTTAAATTGTAATTGGGAGACCCTTCACCCATCAGATTTTGGTGAAAGCTGTTGAATAAAAGCTTTGTTACTTGTTTCCCATTTGATACCATTTCTGACTCCCTATGAAGAAAATGGCAGCTCCCCTCAGATAGCACCTTAAGGTTTGCAAAGAGCTTTCTCCCCAGCGACCCTATGGGGTAGATTGTATTTCAATTATCCTCATCCCCATTTTAGAGATGAGGAAATTGAGATTCGGGTTTGGCCCACCATCACCTAGGTCTTTGACCTTCAGGCCTAGGGCACTAGCCCCTAAGCCAGGCTACCCCTCTCTTCATTGGAGTTTCTTTCTGTATCAGTCCAAGAAGCATTTGGCTTCCAAGGAACTAGCAGGATTTTATTAATTCTCTACTGTCCCAGTAAAATATAAGCTCTCCTCTGCCCCTTAACAGAGTATCTTACAGAGGTACATATAGTTCCTCCTAGAGGGATTTGTATCCCCCTGATGCTCCAAGCAGAAAAGTGTTTTTGGCCTATGACAGTGGCTGGTTGGCCCCAAACACCATTGCTCTGGAAATTGCCCTGAAAACGTTCTTCTTCATCATTTGCCCTCCCCCGCCAGCAGCCCCTCCTCCATATACCCCAACAGGCCCACCTGACATAGACAGTGATTTTTCAGTGTTCACCTTGGGATTCTATCCCAGGGCTCCTTGATTTTCACTGTGAGCTCTATTTGGGAGAGTGTTGGTTTATTTGGACTAAGGAACAAAGATCAAACTTTGCTCTTTTGTAGGGTGGCTGTTCCTAATTAGCAGTATGACTGTGGATAAGGCCCTTCTCCTTTCTGAGTCTCAGTTTCATCCATTATATTTCATGTAATAGCTTTTGATCAATTAGAGATCTTCATCTTTTTCAGTAGTAGGTCATCTAGTTAATGATTATAACTACTGATTGATCTGAGCCTGCTACCAGCTAGTACTGGGTTACCCAATGGTAACAGCAGGTGGATGGTCAGGCCTTCCCAAGCTGCTAGTTTGTGTGTACTAGTTAATAAAATAACCTTTTGTTCAAAGGCCTCTCCAGAGGGCTGCATCCCGCCAGCATGTTGGAAGCCCTGAGACCACCTGGACTACTCTAACTCTGAGGTTCTGTGAAGCCTACTAAAAATTCCCCTCTGTTCCACCCCTGCAATCCAAAAGAGATGAAAACAGATCTCTTTGCCTGGTGACCTTTTAACTTGAACTTCAGTGACATAGGCCAGATACCCATGGAGATGCCAGCTACTTGGCAGTCCAGGCCTGTGTAAGATCACTGGCCCCTTGGGTCAGTCTGCTAGCAGTCATTAAGTCCCTTCTATGTGCCAGGCATTGTGCTAAGCACTGGAGATGCAAAGAAAAGCAAAAAGAGGTCCTGCCCCCACACCTTCAGTCTCATGAGGGGAATAACATGAACCAGGGACCCACAAGATATAAGTGGGATAAAATGGAGGTAGGACCCCAAGGTTGGCACAAAGGCTGGCCAGGGATCTCCATCAACTGCAGGGCAGGAACTGGTAACACTCTGGTTTGCTGAAGTAGATATGGTATTGAGCCTTTGTCTGTGGCTCAACCCAAAGCAGAATCTGGGGCTGTCCATGTGAGCGCTAAGGATGACTTTGACCTCTCTGTGCTGGTCCCCACTGAGCTGGTCCAGGAGATCCCCTGACAGAGCTTTGCTTTCAGGCCTGCTCGCTAGGTTTAAAAACATTCCCTATCTTGGTGGAGAAGCTTCCTTCAGTGTTGCTAGAGAAGGGTGAGGAGTTTAATGGAAGCCTGTTCTAAAGTCAGGTGGAGAAGAGGGAGAGAGCTCCAGAAAGAGGTTTCAAGGATACTGATTGGAGTCAGAGAACCTGGATTTGAAGTCCAGTTGTGCCACTTACTAACTTCATGAGACTGGACAAGCCTCAGTTTCTGACTATGTGAAATGGAATTGTAGATGTTTTTTAAGGTCCCTTTTAACAGGGTTGTATTCACCACTGATCCTGGCTGCCTTGGTCTTTTGGGGTATACATTCCTAGGGGGTGTGATGCCCTATAGCTATATATAGCACCCACTTTCTATAGGGACCATTGCCAGCCCTGAGGGTAGGAGAGAGACTTTTTAAAAAAAAAAATGTAGCATGGGGACCACTCACCCTTGTCTAGGAACCCTGGAAGACCTAGACCACTGAGTCCTTCTGGCCCCCTCCCTTTCCCTTAGCTGTTAAGGCTGTATTATGCCCACATCAGCAGTCTGCTGACCACACCACTCGCTGTACTTGCTTGGGGGTGGGGGGAGAAGCTCCTTTTGCTGCTCTGTCTTTCCGGGCTTTGTGCAGATCAAACCTCACATGTGGCCAATCCCCTGAGAAAGTCACTTGGGTTATTTTGGGGGGGGGAAATATTCTAAAAGGCAATTTTAGGATTGGGTTTGGGTGTGTGTGTGGGTGTGTATCTAAGTCTGACTTTGTTTGCTGTGCAGCTTTGCCACAGATTACATTTCTTTTTCCACTCTTAATATGAAAAAGATCACAGACCAATCCTTTTCTATACATGCTAATAAATGAAAGCTGGCTGAAGCTCTCAACTTGGAGGGGCTGTTCAAGGGAGGAAGCTGTGAGATGTTGGAAGATAATTGGCAGAATCTTGGTTTCTTTAAGTTTTGTGCATCAGGGACGGGGTTGCTTTTCCTCCCCCCTCTGATCTTTGAAGGAAAGCTGGCAGCCCCATCAGACTCTTAGTGTCGGAGTGTTAACTCAGCCTACTTTGTGGATGTGGGTTTTGTTTTGTTTTTTGGAGGTGGGTTTTTGTTTGAGTAGAATTGGGGGAAAGTAGGTAATATTTACTGATTTTCCTGAGTGCTCTTAACTTCCTGTTGCTGGTGCTTTGGGTGGGCTGGCTGGCAGAAAATCTAAGAGAGCTTCCATTCTCCCCCCACTTAGTTTTTCTAACTCTCTGTCTTACCCTTGTCCCCCCTGGGTGTGTGTGTGGGGGGGCAGCTAGAAGGAAAGTCCCTAGGAATGTACCTTGAGTGGTCTGAATTCTGCTAATTGTGTTTCCTATTGAAGCTTTTGAAGGCAGACACGAAATTTCACACTGCGTGCGGTGGAGGCATGTAATTGAACAAGTCAGCGCTGTGCTAGGAGTTTGGATCATTCATGGGACTAGAGGGTATGAAGGTGCCCAGCACTGCTGCAAGTATTGAGAAGCTCCCACCCTCCAGTGTGCCTTGTGCTAGGCCGTGTTCTAGCTAATGTTCTCCTGGTGGTGGTGGTGGGGGGGGGAGTATAACATATTTACAGACAAGTAAATATGCAGTGATTTGGGTGCACCAACCCCCAGAGTAACCTGGAAAGGGCCCCTGGAGGAGATGAGACTTGGGCTGAGCTTTTGAAAGGATCTCAGAATTAGAGCAGCTGATTCTAGGAGTTAATAAGAAGCCTTTTCTAAGGAAAGGGGGGACCTTGGAAGAAGGGCGAGATTGGTGTCTAGATTTGATGTGCAGACACACATGAGTCTCCCAAACTAAACATGAGATGGGAAGGAGCCATCTTTGAAATGGGCCAGGTCACCCCCTGGGACCTTAGCCATGGTGATTCTCCATACCCACCCCCCACCCCTTTTGGTTGGTGAAACCATTTGTGTGACTCTATTGCTAACTGACCCTCTCTCTGTGTGACCTAAGCCTTGGGTTTGGCCTTTTGACCGAGCCCATTTACAGAACAAATCCTTTTAGTAAGGGGATTTGTTCTATGAAGTTTGGATTCCGTTAAAGGGCAGAACTTGAGGACCTAGAGGGCCATGTATGGCCTCAAGGCTGCAGGTTGCTCATCCTTGACCTAGGCCCTAGGCAATTCCCAGGCCATAGGGGGTAGGTGAAGTGTTGATCTGGGGGTACTTTATCAATTGAAGTATCTGAAGTATGTTTCATGTGAGTGTGTGTGTGTGTGTGTGTGTTCAACCAAAAAGTTTAGTGAGAGCTTTGGCCACTCATAAAATTTTATAAAAAAGGCAGCAATTACAGCCATTTCTTAGGGCCCTAACTCAGTTTACCCACGTTGGAGCCTTTTAATGGAAATTGAGGAAACCAATTGAGAAAACTAGCATTTTGTCTGTATCTCTGGCAGTTCTGGCCTGCTCTTCCAACACGGTTGTTTTAGACTGGACTTTTTTTGGATGCTAAAGAACATTCTCTCGGTTCAGTCGTCTTTTGTCTGTCTGCTATAGAATCCCCTGCTGTCTCCCTTGTTTTGCAAGGTTTCTCTGAAGCTGGCCCTCCCAGGGAGATGGGCAGCTGCAGGCAGGGTAGTGCCCTCTTTTAATAATGAGTTTGTGTTTGTTCAGAAACCACTGTTTGTGGGCCTGAAGCTATAGGAAGAGGTGCTTTTGTGGATCTTCTTTTTTAACACACGAATTTTTCCCAAGCTCTGGTGTTGCTATAGGGCTTAGTGGGATAGATGGTGTCAGGTTTCTGTAATGGAGAACAGGTAGCAGCTGCCTTCTTTCCAGCCTGAACCAGGTGCGGCTGGGGTGGCCGTCTCTACCACCACCACCACTTTGAGGCTGCTTTGGCACCTGGCCCCGTTCTGGTCTAATGTAGCCCTGGTCCTGTGCTTTTCTCCTTAGCCTCGGATTATGGGATGAAGCTGCCCATCCTTCGGGCCAACCCTGAAGACCAGATCCTCTATCAGACGGAGCGCTACAACGAGGAGACCTTTGGCTATGAGGTCCCCATCAAAGAGGAAGGGGACTACGTGCTGGTGTTGAAGTTTGCCGAGGTCTATTTTGCACAATCCCAACAGAAGGTGAGGTGCAGCCAGGCTTCTGAGTCATCTTACATTTGACCTGTGGATCATGGGCCTCAGGTCTAAAAGGCAAACCTCCCCTGGGGCAAAGGGAAGCGGATGAATGTTGAAGAAGCATCCATTCTCATCCCCCACCTCCCTAAAATGTGTCTGTGCGGCGCTGTGCTGGAGTGAGTGGCCAAGACTCCTAACTCTGGCCACGGGCCGGCCTAGGCAAAATGTCATGTGCTTCTTTTGTCTGAGTTATCTTTCTAAACCTCATTTTTAACTCTGTCTCTACTGGCAGATTTGCCTCTCTCTGATACCGATACTGTGTTGGCTTAAATGGCCTGTTCCATGAGTCTGGTAGAACCTCTTGGCTACCCATGGGCAGTGAGGAGGAGGGTGCCATATTGAAGGGGGTTCCTTGACTTTCCCGAGCACAAGGGCTTGAGCCTTCTAGAGGCTCTATTTGTCTCTTCACTGAACTGGTTTTACGGCTGAAGCTCTGTCTGGCCCTCTCCAGCAGGGATGGGGAACCTTAAGGCCACATGTGGCCTTCTAGGTCCTTAAGTGCGGCCTTTTGACTGAATCCAAATTTTATGGTCCTGTAACTGAACTCTTTGGTTCCCATGAACTAGTGGTTCTGACCTTTATACAAATTACCATCTTCCCCCTGCAACACACCCACAATGTGCCTGCAGTCCCCTCAGTCCCCTGCCTCTCTGCATGCCTTTGTGCCTGAAATGGCCTTAATCCCCAGTAACTTTTGCCTTTGAGAATGTGTAGCTTCCCTAAAACTCAGCTGGGATGTTCCCTCTCATAGGAAGCCCTTTTGATCTTCCCAGCTGTTAGTGCTCCCCTTCTCAAATCAGCTTGTGTTCACACATCTGCATTTGCATTAGATCTCCCTAGTAGAATATAAGGTCATTGAGGGCAGGGGCTCTTTTCAAAACAATTTTAGTTTTATCTCCCAAATGCCTAGCTGCACCCTGTCCAAATTGGGAAGCTGACTGATGGTTACCCTTTCTGACCCTGAAGGTGTTTGATGTGCGCTTGAATGGTCACGTGGTCGTGAAGGATCTGGACATCTTTGACCGGGTTGGTCACAGCACAGCTCATGATGAAATCATCCCCATTAGCATCAAAAAGGGAAAGCTGAGTGTCCAGGGGGAAGTGTCCACCTTCACCGGGAAACTCCACATCGAGTTTGTCAAGGTAGCCCCTTCTGTCTCCTGGCGGGGAGGGTGCTGGGGAATGCGTTGTTCCTGTTTCAGCTTGACAGGTTTTTTCCCATCTTGTAGGGGTACTATGACAATCCCAAAGTCTGTGCACTATATATCATGGCTGGGACCATAGATGGTGAGTAACATTTTTGTTGTCATTTAGTGGTATTTGGGGCATGGGTACCAGGTACTTGGAGATTGCTGGGGGTAAGGAGGGGGCCAGTCACTTGGCATAGTCTGACAGGAAGCAAAATTCAGAGAATCAGGACATTAACTACTTAGTGGGATCGTACACTTGGAATTGGAAAAGACTTTGGAGATGAGTATAGGCCCCTCCTTTTGTAGCTGAGGAACGCAAGCTCCCTCCAGAGAATGTGGATTCTGGTGGCCACAGTCGCCCAAGGAGTTGGTGGCAGAGTCCCGAGGCTCTACCATCCTCGATTGTACCAAACCCCAAGGCTCATCCAGGGGCCCAGGCGCTTGAATCATGGCGGCGGTAAAGGATGGGCTGGGCCGGGCCGGGCCCAGTCAGTCTAAATCTTCTGTCCTTTAGTTGCTCGGCCTTCTAAGTGGAAGGCAAAGTATTTCCTTCCCTTACTATGCGTTAAGCTCATTGTCAGATCCCAGAAAATCTACTCTTGGGAAAACTATAGTGCTTCCTTCCTGACTGTCTCATGCACAACCTTCTTCCTTTGCTGATCTCCCCAGGGCCTGAGGTACCAGCACATAAAAGGGCTCTGACTTGGAGAGCCATGTGATACCGCCCTCCAAGTATCATGCACCATGGTGCTTCCCCATTTACTAGCCTTTTCTAGGGACGACAGAGTGGGAGGCCCGTCTAACCAGCCTGCATCTATTAGAACATCTATCAGAGCCTTCTGTTAAGTAGAAGTTGCTGACATGGCATAGCTGAGCTTGGAAGGAAGGTCTTGGCACCTATCGAACCTTCTCAGTGTCCTTGGCATCCGGCCGTGGGCATATTTTCCCTCTTGGGGCTCTGAGGTTATCACAGCTGCCAGTTTCCCAGGCTGCCTTCACAGAGGGGCTTATGTCTCGATGGTTGGCACCAGTCAATCACTCTCCCCTTGCCCCTTACTCCTTCCACCTCAATACACCATCCAACTTGTTCCTGTCTTATATGTCAATATTGAGGGACCTCAGAGGACAAAAAGGAGTCTTTTCTGTTCCCCAAAGTCCTGGCATTGCTGCACCTCTTCTAAGAGGGTGGATCAAATTGCTTGCCAGGAAAAAAGTCCAGCTAATGTCTATAAAGAGTTGTGGAGACATTGAACCTGTAAGGAAAGAGGGCGCTCAGAATACGGGGACTCAGCTGTTTGTTAAAGCCATCCTCTGAAGGGCAGGAAGGCAACTGCCGAGCCAGTGTGATCCATGTAGGAGAAAGGCCTTTGGATCCAGACCCGGCTTCAGACCTGGCTCCTTCTGGGGATTTTGGGCAAGCTTGCCTGGGCTTAGTTTGTGGGTAAAATGAGGAGGTAAGTCTAGGTGATCTTTGAAGTGAAAAGGGATTTGGGACCACGGGAGGCAGGAAGGGAGAGCTGAGAACGCTGAGGAATATGTCGGGTCATTGTCCACACCCAGGCTGTAAGCGTTCTCAGGTCTTGGTGGGAGAAGTGAGGAAGGAAGGAGGAGATTGGAGCCTTCCGTGAAGGGTGTTACCGCTGCTAGCTCCTTTGCTTGCTCGAGATGGCAGGAACCAGCAAAGATTTCTGTGCTTTGGGGCATCCGGCCAGCCAGCTGGTCGCAGGAGTTTGGTCCGTAAGCGAGCTGGGCCTCCTGGTGCCCTGTGGCCCAGTTGGCGCTGGGGGCACATTCTTTACTGTGCTTATCAGTCATACTTCTCTCTGTCCTCAGAGGTGCCAAAGCTGCAGCCTCACCCAGGCCTGGAGAAGAAGGAGGAGGAGGAAGAGGAGGAAGAGTACGAAGAAGGTTCCAGCACCAAAAGGCAGTCCAATAAGAACCGGGTCCAGTCGGGCCCTCGCACTCCCAACCCCTACGCCTCGGACAACAGCAGCCTCATGTTTCCCATCCTGGTGGCCTTTGGCGTCTTCATTCCGACCCTCTTCTGCCTCTGTCGGCTGTGAGAGCACAGGGCCATCCTGAGGGTGGGGAGAAGGGAGGAGGAATGAGACCAAACATGGTTGGTTTTGGTTTCTTCATGTTTTTCACAATTTCTTAACAAAAAATTTTTTAAAGAGGCAGAATGAGGAGAGAGTGGATTTGCCCAGCCCAGCCCAGCTCAGCTCAGTCGTGGCCTCATTTCACTCCCCTCGCTTTCTTCATGGCTGGCATCCAATGGCTGCCTTCCTCTCCAGGGTACTTGGGGTGAAATCGGACCTTTCTCATCTAAGGAGCTAGAGGCTGCTCCGTGGGGACTCTGATCTGTGTCCCTGGGGAAAGGGCTTGGGCCCAGAGCACAAATACTGTTTCCTTTTAAGATGGAATATTAGGAGAACTAGGGATAGGAAATGGATTGCCTGAGAGAGACCATGGTTGGGAGTGAATCGGGGTCTGAAAAGCCTTGTTCGGAGGGCCTGGGCTGAAGGAGGGTGGACATAGAATCCAGGGGGGAGGGCAAGTCTGGGCCTAACTGTGTGTTTAAAAAGGAGGGAAGGTCTGATGGAAGCCTTGTTGGCCGGTCTCCAAATGAAAGCTCTGTCTTAAAATGTGTGAACCACGAGGTGGGCCTCTGGCCGGTGAGGGGAGCTGGTCTGGGAACCAGAGCTGCAGCTTTACCTCCTGGCCTGAAACTGCCTTTTGGCTCTTGTCACCACAAAATACATTTTGCTTTTAGTGCCTGTCGGGGACTTGATTTTGCTTTCCCTTTTTTCCCGTTTCTGCTACTCACTTGAAATTTCTTTCCCTCTCCACCTCTTTCATGGGTGATCTCCTCCAGGAGACGGGAGCCTGGGGACTTTTCTTCTGGTACTCATTGGAATGGCCCTTTTAAGGACTCCTGGTGGCCACACGGGACTTAGCTTGTCTGCAAGCCCCTCTGGACTTGAAATTGGAGATGGTCTGTGTTGTCCAGTGAAATGAGAGCGTTGAGGGTGAGACCTGGGCCCGGCTCCCAGACTCCCGCTTGGGTCCAGCCAGGTCTCCCTGGTTGTGGAATCGTCCTCCTCTTCCCAGGAGTAGTGGTTCCTTGGTCTCTGTGTGCGTTCTTTTCCCTAGATTACGAGGCTATTTGGCACTCGCTACCTACCGCAGGGGTGTGCGTCATGTGGTTCTGTACCCAAGGGCTAGGACTGTTCAACCAATTACTTCCTGATAATTGACCTAGAATTGCCCCCAAGATACTTAACTGCTTGGCTGTACCTTTTGATCTGACTCAGGCTTTTGCTGCAGTCACTGGGGCTTCTGACGGATCTGCTGGTTCTCCCCTCCGTACTGGGTCTCATCTGCCCCCTGCCCTGCCTGACAGCAATAATTTGGCCATCCTAGGGGGCAGGGGTTGGAAGCGTTCCAATGCACCGGAGTCCTGGCAGCCACCTAATCCATCTTTCTATTCAGGTTTTACTTCCTCTGCAGTGTTCTGCTCTCTGGGAATTAAAATACCTTTGTTGGATTTCCCTCACTAACAATTATCCTCACCGGCTCAGTTGAGGTAGCCTGAGGCAGGGCTCAGCCAGGCTTGGGGAGGATGGGGGAGGGATATGGGATCTGCTGGCACCTTAGAGAGCACCAGACCCTGTCCCTTGGCAGTGCAGAAATTCCGTCTTGGCTTCTGCAGGTTTTTTGTTCTCTTTCTTTAGAGCTAAGGAGCAAGTTGATGACTGAGGTCCCCTTGAGTGCCAGCTTTGTTCCTGTTGTGCAATCATCTGCTTGGCACCTGGAGCTAAGACGGTGTCCCCAGCTGATGGCGCTCAGGCAGCAGAGCCGAGAGTGGTCAGAGGCTCCAGGGGCAAGACACTTGTGGGCCTTCATCTTCTAACAGAACCTTTGACTCTGGTCACTTGAATTGCCCTTCCAAGTCCTCCCGGAGTGGACCAGACCCCAACTGCCCTGTGCTTTCAGCTCCTCCCTCTGGGTCAGGGCTGCTAACAACCTTGGGCTGTTTCTAACCTGGAGAGAAAATGTGGAGAGGACACCTGTAGACTTGCATTTGGCCTCATTTTGTTGCTTGAGCAGCAAGATTTCCTTCCCTCCCCCCAAGAGAGAAACCTTGACTCTCTGCCCTTTTTGCAGTGACCAGCAGCTTTAGATAGCAATCCTAGGTCCTGTGACCATTTTATGACGGTACCCCCGAGGAGCTTTCCTTCTGTCTTGATTCCCAGGCTGGCCCTTTGTCCTTGAGCTGGGCAGGAGGCAATTTTCCTTCATAGCTGTGCTCAAAGGAAGGAACACCTTTCCATGATCTAAAAAGTCTGAAGGGGAAGGAAGGGAACAGGAAACAATGTGGGTGGGGATGGGGGGAAGGAATCCCCTTGGGCATGACCCGTTCTACAGGCAGGAGTTCTCCTCTTTGCCCGGGCCTGGCTGTAGCTGGGCCAGAAAGCTTTCTCCTTCTCCAGGGCCAGTGGCCTGCTATACCCTAACAGACATAGGTACATGACATTTTTGCTTGGGGGATGGGGGCTCTTTATTATTATTTTTTATTTTTGTATTGTGTATATTAGAAACTACTCTATTGTTGGGTTTTTGCCTCCTGCTTTTGGTGCCCACCTTACACTTTGAGCCAGTGCTGGAATTGAGTAATGGCTCCCAGCTGTCCTGAGGCGCCAGTCCAGGAGAGGCCTGAGGCCGTCATCTCCTGGGGCCACATTTTATCCCTAAACTCCTCCCTTCTGCTCCCACTGCCTCAGCTCAACTAAGGCAGGAGAACCTCCAGCCGGGGTTTGAATCCTGGGGCCGAACACTTCTGTTTGCCCTCTACCCTGGCATAGTTGCTTGGCAGAGCCAAGGCCAGTCACCTGGCTCTAATGGGATGGGTGGGGGTGGGGCATGGATGGATGGCCCTGTGTGGGAGGAAGAACAGGAGGAAGAGATATCAGATTCTGCTCTAGGCTTCAAGCAGGCTAAACTACAGCCGCGTGTCAGAGGAATATATATATGGCAAATGTTTCCTTGAGCCAGTCAGGGCAGCTCCATTTAAAAAAAAAAAAAATGCTTTTTCCCATGGTCCTGATGTCAGGGGGAAAGCTGCATCATGGGGGCCCTGATTTGACATTCTGGTGGCCTGAAAGACAGTTGTCTTTGCTTGTTTTTCCTTAAATTGCTATTGGCCAATGTCACTGGGTGTTGAATGTTCATAATTAGTAAATACCCCTCGGTTTATGAGTCTCCAATTTTGTTCTTTTATCACTTACCCAGGGGACGGGGGCTTCTCTGAAGGGCTGCCGGGAGCTTGGCTTTGGTTTGGGTCCTGTGAGGCCAGACCAAACCTGTCCTGCATTACCTTATGCTCCACCCCTCTCCCTCTGGGTGGCACCTGGGAGCTGTTGTTAGATCTTTGAATTTTTTTTTAAAAGTTTCAGTTTGATATTCAATGTTTTTGGAGAAGCTTCTGTTTTAAGGAATTTCTCCTTTCCTTCTCGCTTCAGTCCATCGCCTGGGAAGTCCTGGTGTCTCAAAATCTCAGCCAAACTTCAGAAGCACTGGCAGTATTTTCAATTGCCCAGCTCTTATATAAATTTTCCTCAAAAGCTACTCACCTTGGGGAGTCCAGGGAAGGAATTCGCAGGTTTTCTGTCCTTCTTAGGGAAGAGGCAGAGTCGGTCCCTGGGGGACTGGGGAGGGCCCCAGTCAGCACAGTGCCTTTCTTAATCTCTTTTCTCTCTGTCTCTCTGACCTTTTTTTTTGGTTTGTTTTGTTTTGTTTTTAAACCGGTTTTGAGCCTTGGTAATGCTCTCTCTAGATTCAGGTCTGGGCCAGGGGCTATCCCTTCCTGCATGTCCCTACCGCACCCCATTCCCCTGCAATAAAAAGGTCTGTTTGATGTGAGAAAGATGTCCAGTTGAGTCGTGGTGCCTTGGTGGCTGGATGGCTTAAGTGTTGATGCTGCCATCTTCAGCTTTCCTTTGCCAAAATCCAGAGGGACTCAGGAAGGAGAACTTTAAAGTGTGAAAAAACATCCCAGTTCTTTGGTGAAGATCCAGTAGGAGTAGCCTCCCCCTTCCTGGAAAGCCAGATAAAGGGGAGATGAGGCCCTGTTGGCCTTCTGAGGCCACATTGACCCTGCTTGGGAGCTGATTGGAATGTGAAAAATGGAGATGTTTCCATCCTCCTATGGAAGGATGTGAGTAAGGATCAGGAGCCTCGGTAAAAGAGGAGTCATTTATCCTTCCTTGTCAACCCGGAACGAGCATCTCCCAGGGTGGATTGTGAAGTCCGGTCAGCCTTTTCTGGGACAGGAGGGCCAGACCAGGAGTTCGCCTTTGCCATAGGTGGGCCACAGCTGGAAGGTTTTTTCAGTAGGGCAAGGGATGTGGCTGTACCCCTTTCTGTGACTTGGCTACCTTCCCATGGTCTCCTAGTTGCCCTTTAGCCAGGTTTAATGACCAACCTGGATTGGAGCTGGGGAACCTGAGGGCAGTTGAATTGGCAGAAACACAGCAGGGATGGATTTTACACTTGGTGTTGGGATAAGCAGTTCTGGTCCTTGACTGGTGACAGGTAATGGCCAGCGGGCTGTCCTTAGGGGTCCCTTTCCTCCCAAGCATCTTGTGAGAGAGATGCGTGCCATCCTTACACAGACACCACCCCTTGGACCCACGAGTGGCTCCTTTCCTTTGGGGTTTCAAGTTCAAATGCTTCCCTTCCAGGAAGGCCAAACGGCTCAGTCATTAGCAGGCTGGGGTGGGGAGACCGTGCATGTGAATACAGCGGGTTGTCTGGCAGGGGTCTGTGGTCCCAAGGTGAAGCAATGTTCAGGAAGCTTTGGGTCCCTCCTTCCCAGCTCGCCCTTTTCCCTAGTGTGCTTGTGATCTAGGGAATGAAAAGAGATTGGACCCTGGATCCATTTCTCCTTTCACAGACTTAGGGGTTTCTGCACTCTTGCCTACTGTGAGTTGGTCTTAAAGCCAGCCAGGAGTGGCTTTTTCCCAACTTGAGCTAAGGGCCGACTTCACCTGCGGTCCTTGGCCTGTTTAGGAAATGGAGTGGTGGCTCTCCGGAGCTGACCCTGGCTGCCCCATTCTGGGCATGTAAGTCCCCAAAGAAGTGTCAAGGTCTCAGCAACCCTTGTTCCCTTTGGACCTCCAGCCCTCACCGCCCCCTCCCCAAGCTGGGCCCCACTGCTTCGGGGTTTGAGCAGCAGGTTTGGATGGAGGGTTACAAGCCCTAGTGGACTGGATGGGGGGCGGGGTAAGGGTTCTTTTCTTTCCGAGTTGTTTCCATCTGTCCTAACTTTCTTTCCTCCCCCTGCCCCCAAATCAGGATGTTTTTTCACTGTCCATTGCTTTGTGTTTTAATAAACAATTTGCAGTGATACTTTGTGTTGGGATTGAATTTGGGCCTGGCCAGGGATGGGGGGGGGAGCCTCAAGGGCTAGCTAGCTGCTTTAGGTTGGCAAATCAGGCTTTAGTTTTGGAGGTTTTGAATTGGGCTAGGGATCTTCATGTAGGCTCTCTCTTTCTCTTTCTCGTTGTCTTTCTCTCTAAAATTTTTATTTCCAGGATGTTTGGTTGAGGAAATATTCTGTAATACTCTGCCTGGCAGTTTTAACCAGCAGCGTGTTCAAGAAAAATAAACAAAATTATATTGTCACTAGTGTCCAGCTTTGCCTTTTTTTCCCTTCTTTTGAGGTTTATTCACAAAGGGGTACTTGTCCATAAAGGATGAACAGATCAATTCAGCAAACATTTATTAAGCAACTAATATATGTATACCAGGATCCTAGTTATAGGGATTACCAAGAGAATTGGAAAGATAGGACAGTGTAGTGATTAAAATAATTTTGAGAGGTAGTTTCTGGGTAATTTAATCATTGTATTAATAAGGCCAGCATGTTATTAATAAAAGTATTGTCATTTGGCTGTCTGTCTTAGACCAAAGACAGTCAGGCTGGCTGCCTCAGGACTTAATTTGGAACTTTTGGAAGAGGAGTGGTAATTGACTCTGGTTAACACAGTGGGAGGTGGGCTATGTTCAATGAGAGATTGAGAGTGACATCATGTCATATTACCCTTTTAGGCACCACTTAGACATTCATATTAAGCATATTTTCCCATTAGTCATGATGTAAAGAACAATTAGAACTAATGGGAGGAACCCTGAGAATGAAGCAATAAAACAAAACCACAAAGGAAAAGGAGAGCAAATAGTGTGCTTCGATCTGCATTCAGACTCCATAGTTCTTTCTCTGGATGTGGACAGCAATTTCCATCATGAGTTTTTTGGAGATGTCTTAGATTCTTGCATTGCTGAGAAGAGCTTCAAGTCTATCAAAGTCAGTCATTGCACATTGTGGCTGTTACTATGTATAAAGTTCTCCTGGTTCTGCTCGTTTCACTCTGTGTCAGTTCATATAAGTCTTTCCAGGTTTTTCTGAAGTGTGCCTGCTCATCATTTTTCTTTTTCTTTTTTTTTTTAGGCAATTGGGGTTAAGTGACTTGCCCAGGGTCACACAGCTAGTAAGTGTCAAGTGTTTGGTCTGAGGCCAGATTTGAACTCAGGTACTCCTGACTTCAGGGCCGGTGCTCTATCCACTGCGCCACCTAGCTGCCCCGCTCATCATTTCTTATAGTGCAATAGTATTCCATTACATTCATATACCACAACTTGTTCATCAGCTTTGTTTTTTAAGGTATACCATGTAGTCTCGTGACAGTAACAGCTCATGTGAGCCCTATGAGGTACAGGGGGGTGCAAGCATTAACCCCACTTAACAGTTGCAGAGAATGAGGCTCAAGCCCAATGACCACAGTCACAGATCAGTCCCAGATGTGAAGTTGGGCTTCCCATGACCCAAAGTCCAGGGCTTTTCTCATTACATGACATTGGCCACATCCCCAGTGAACTTTCCACCTCTGCAAGGCTTTGAAGTGGTACGAAGAGAGTTTGGAGTCTGGATTTGTTGAGGTTTAGGGGTGCTGGGACCCTGAAATAGCGACATGTGAGTCCTGCCCGAATGAATTCAACCCAAGCCTTCTTTTAACCAAAGACAGGGTTTATTAAAGATCTGCCATATTGAACAGACTCTTAAGGAATCTGAACATTTGTGATGCTAATATTGACAGGCAGGATAGATTGAATCTCAGCACTTTAATGGAGACAAGATGGATACAGAAAGACTGTGGGAGGTATCTGGTAGTTTGGGGTGACTGGAGGTGAATGCTTGAACCAAGAGAATGGGGTCTAGATAGGATCAAGGGTGGGAAGGGAGGTAATAAACAATGAAGGACTGGGCTAGGTTAAGGGTAACAGAATTGGGAGTAGAAAGGGCCCTTTGAGGGGATTATAGCCTCAGAGACTTAACTTGATTAAGTGGGAAAATTCAAGGAAGGAGTTTCCAGAACCTGTACCTTGTCATCCCCCCCCCCCCAAAAAACCAAATGAGACCCAAATTCTTTTGGGGTAAGGGGCAAAGGTCTCAGCTTGGACCCATACCTTGTCAGGTTGAGGGGGCAGGATCTGGCCTGGGGAACTTTGTATCTCTGGTCCCTGGCAATGTAGCAGGTACATCAGTTTTAAAGTGAGCCTCTCTGGCCCAGTTTTTTGTCAGCAGAATTAAAATGTGGGGATTAAACCAGATGACTCTTCTATGTTAAATTCGATATTCCTGGGAAATCCCTGCTAGGCCCTTTCTAGCCTCTCCAGCTAGCATATTTTGTCTGATTCCGATGGACCAGAAGTATTGGCACTCCCTGGTCTACAAGTCTTAAACCAGGCTCTGTTCATTTTGTCCCTCGCCAGGCCCAGCTCTGGCAGCAGGTTCTGAAAGCCGATAGTTTTTTTTTTCTTTCTGTGTAACTTGGAGGCTTGAAGGGTACAAGGTATTTCTAAGGAAATCAGGCTGAGGTTCCCCTCATGTGCGATGTGCTTATTCTCCAGAGCCAGAGTCTTCTGTCTCTCCTTGGCCCCAGGGATTGTGGAGAGGGAGAAGAGAACAGTCCAGAGAGGAGCCTTCTCAGCTAACGGTAATCGTTGCCTACCCCAGGATCAGATGGGACTGAAACCAGAGCGGCAAAAAAGGAAAAATCTGAAGGCGTGTTCTGGTTGAAACGGCCATAGGGAGCTTTTGGGCCCGGTGCCTGCCTAGGGCTGGGTCCACACTAGGCTGTATGTAGATCCTAATCTTGCTGCAAAGGAAATTGGGCTCCCGGTTTGGGTAAGACTGCTTATCTCGAGTGGGGACAATTTTCAAAGACACATTACCTCACCCCACTTGGGCTGCAGTGAAGGAAGCTGGCCTTTTGCAGTGTTAGTTCTCTAGGGACAATGGGGAAAAAAACAAAGCACTCAGGGGGAGGGTGGGGGGAAAAGGCCCAGAGGCCCTGGGTTCAAATCCCAAGTCTTTCATGTGACTTGTAGTAAGTCATTTCCCTTTTCTGGGCCTTCGTTTCCTGTCTGTAAAATGAGGGTGATGGTTCTAGAGACTAGATCTCAAAGACCAGCTAGCCAAAGAAGAAGAAACAGGCCAGGCAAAGATTTGGCTAAGGGCCTCGAGTTGGAATTGGAACCCGGGTCCTCTGACTTGAGAGCCAGCACAGGAAGAGGCTGGAGGCATCTAGTCGGGGACTTCATGTGCTTATGACTAGGCTCCCTTCACGTTCTGTGCCAGCCCAAGGTCATGAGAACCAGCATCAAGTTGCTGGGGCCTGTTTTTTATTTTTGGCTTTTTGTGAAGTCACTTTTTTAAAAAGTTTCCGAACTGCCTTGTCTCCTCAAGGCCTGGGCTAGCCAGTCCTCTCCTGGGACCCTTCTAGATTCCACACGATGTAGCTGCTGCTTCCTCAGGGCCGGTACAGGGACAGTCTGTGTTTCCTGTTCACATCAACCTAGGTCCTTTCCCCATTGCCCCTTTCTGTTTTCAAGGCACGAAGATGCATAACTTCAGCCCACCCTTTTACCAGCCCTTATGACTGTTACCCCCCTTCAGGAGAGTACCCTGTGAGGTTTAGACCCCCCCTTACATGGAGTGTCACTTTCCCTGGCTTCAAGTCTCAGCTAAGGTCCACCTTTCCCAGGTCTTCCTAATTGTGCTGCCCTTCCCTCTGAGAATATGATCCCCAGTTTATCCCTTCTACCTTGTTTGTCCATAGTTATTTGCACATCTCCCCCCCCCCCCAGTTGTGAGTTTCTTGAGTGTAGCAGCTATCTTTTGCCTTTCTTTGATTCCCCAGCACTTAGCACAGTGCCTGGCACGTAGTAAATAGGAACTTACTAAATGCTTGTTGACTGCTTTGATTGGTTCTGGTGTTGACCCTGGTGTTGTGGGAATGACTAGCCCTGTGGCCAAGGCCTTTCCACGGAAATGGAGCTGGCAATTACAACAGGGCTGCTTTGGTGGTAGTGTGAAGGAAGAAACTGCTGGTGTGCTGGGCTAGCAGGGCAAAAACAAACAAACAAAAAAAACATACGCAGCCCCTGGGGACTGTCCTATCCTTGAGCTCTGCTCACTGTAAGCCATGCTTGCCTCATCAGATAGGATGACAGGTGACTCGGTCACTCTCTTCTCTCTCCAGAAAGATCACAGAACCTAATAGCATACCTTTGTATGGTGGTGGTGGGTGATGAAATTAGCAATATCCCCAAAACGAGGAAACTGAAGTTTGGAGAGGTGAAATGCTTGCCCAGTTGATCAACACACATTTGTTATGTGTCTACTGTGTGCCAGGCACTGTGCTGGGGATCCCAAAAAAGCCACAGCTCTTAAGGGGCTTACATTCTTTTAGGGGAGACAGTATGTACCTAATTAGATGCATACAGAGTACGTGGAAGGTAATTTTAATCAACAGGTATTAAACACCTACTGTGCACCAGCCGAGTGACGACCTGAGCCAGGATTCTGAGTGTTCTCAGGCCCAGCCCTCGTTCCACCTCGTCATCATTTCTCTCATGTTAAGAGCCAGAGGAGACCTTAGAAATCATTTAGTTCAAGGAGAAGGCCAGCCTGGAGAGGTGACATCACAATCGAATGCCTGGCAAAGTGATTTTAGCATGGGTAATTAAAAAGTTCAATTTGGTGGGATGGGGAAGGATCTTCTACAATTGAGGACCACTGGGGAGCTCCCTTGGGTCTGGTAGGATGATGCTGGACCTGGGGATTACAAGGTATGAATTGCCTCATGTGCTGGGCACACTGTGAGGCACTAGGGGGTGGGGCGGGTGGGGGGTGTTTTTAAAAGGCCATCTAGCAATGCCAAGACTTGTACACCAGTAACTGACGTAAGGGGGAAGTCCAAAAGTTTAGGTCATTGGGTCTTCTTAAACTCAAGGTTGAACCATGGGGCCCTCCATTCAGCCCTGGAAGGATCTTTGAATCCATCTGGTGCAGCCAGTTCCATTTTATAGATGAGGATACTGAGGCCCAGGGGAGCTCAACTACTTGCTCAGGGTCACATAACATATTGAGTAGGAAGCAGAGCCCAGACATGCAACACCACTGGATTGGGGAAGAGAATAAATAAGCATGGCACTGTGCTAAGTGCTTTACAATTACGATCTCATCTGATTTTCACAACAGCCCTGGGGGTGGGTGGGGTAGGTGATGTTATTATCCCCCCCCTCTTTTTTAACAGATGGGGAAACTAAGGCTTAGTGACTTGCCCAGAGTCACGAAGCTAGTAAGTGTCTGAGGTCTCATTTGAACCCTGGTCTTTCTCCACTGTGCTCCCTATTGGCTTGGGAGGCAGAAAGCCTTGAGTTTGAATTGAACTTCAGACATGAGCTGAGTGACTCTGGGCCTTACCTCTGCCTGCTTCAGTTTGGTCAACTGTAAAAAATAACAGCACCCACCTGGAAGTGTTGCAGTTTGGGGTGCTGGGAACCCCAAAATGCAAGGGTACAGGGCCAGTCTGCCTCAAAAAAGACAGTGGGAAGGTCTAGATAGGATTAAGAAGTGGCAAGTAGCCTGGGGTGGGCCAGGGGCAGACATAAAAGGAGGACCACCGTGAAAAGGCAGTTAAAAGGATTATTGAGCGTCTGGGTAGACTGGGACGCCTCAGGTGAATGCCCGGGACTGGGTTCAGGAGCTGGGTTGTGTGGAAAAATGGATCAAGAGATGGTTGTAAAAAGTGCTTGTCAGCACAGTGCCTGGCACATCGTGGTGGCATCGATGCCCATCCCTTGCCCCTTCCTTTAATCAACGCTTTTAAAGTTTGCAAAGCACTGCGCACACATTATGTCATCCAAGGCTCACGGCCACCTTGAACTAGGGACCTCAATTCTTATAATCTCATTTTACAGATGGGGAAACTGAGGCTTGCCCGCGGTCCCCCAAACGGCTGAGAGGGTCAGGGCCCCCAGGGGTCTGCGCCCCGGAGCCGCCTCCCCGTGCCAGAGGTCAGAGCCTCGCGCTCCGTCTGGGGCGGATAGTTGGTTGGCAGCTCTGTGTCAACCTTGGCCTGGGCCCTCCCCCTGAGCGAGCACGTGGGCCGTGGGCCGGACGGAGCCGACCTCCGTGGCTCCTGTGGCCCCGCCCCCGCCAGGCCCCGCCCCCTGGCGCTCTCCATAGTTACGGCGCTGTGGGGGCGGTGGCGGCGCGACGGCCATCTTGGCGGCGGAGCGATGAGCGGTTCGAACCCGAAGGCGGCGGCGGCGGCGGCGGCGGCGGCTGCGGCGGGGCCGGGGCCCGGAGCCCTGGGGGGGACCAAGGACGAGAAGAAGAAGCCAGGTGGCGGCGTCCTAAACCGGCTCAAGGCCCGGCGCCAGCCGCCGTCCGCCGCCCACCACCATTCCGCGGACGGCGGCGGCAGCGGCTCCGGGAGGCCCGAGGCCAGGCGGGTCCCGCCGGTCACGGAGCAGGAGCTGCTGGCCCTGGAGACCATCCGGCCCGAGCACGTCCTGCGCCTCAGCCGCGTCACGGAGAGTGAGTGCGCTGCCCGCCGCGGGGGGACAGCGGCGGCTCCGACCGCTCCCCCTTCCCGGTCCCGGGGCGGGAGGCGGAGGCGCCCCTCCCCCTCACGGACGGGACCGGACCGACCCTGAGGGTCGCTCTCCCCTCCAGCCCCCTCTCCCCATCCTGTGCCCCTTTCCCCTTTCTTCACACCCTCCCTCCGCCCTCTCGTCTCCTTTCCGTCTTACTCTTTGCCCCTCTCCTCTTTTCCTGCTGCTCCCCTCCCCCTCCCTCTTTTTCTCTCGCTCCCCTTCTCTCTCCTCCCTCCCCTCCTTTTCTTCTCCTTCCCCGTCTTCCTCTTTCCCCCCTTCTCCCTCCCCTTTTCTCTCCCCCTTCTCTCCTCTTCCCCACCCCTTCCCTTGGTCTGGGCATGAAAAACAGCATTAGAGCAGGATACACGCTTGATACTGTTTTACTTTGTGACCAAAGGGGCATCGACATGACCTTTCTGTCAGTCTCCTCCCCTGCAAAATGAGGATGATAATAGTTTCTAACTCATGGATTGTTGGTTGGGTGTCAGATGAGATAGATGTGTAAAACTCTGGGCTAAGTATTCTCTGCTCCTCCCCTCCCTTCTACAGGTGCCAGAGTAACCTTTCCCCCTCCCCTCTTCACCTCTGGCCCGGTTACGCTGCTGCCCCTTTACCTCCTCGGCTTTCTCTGCCCTTCCACCCAAAAAAGATCCATCACTTCGCCTTCATCCACCTGGCCTGCCCCTTGGAGCTCAGCTGTTCCTCTGTCTTCAACTCTATTCATTGAGTGGCTGCTGGGGATCTTGGGGGTTAGGATGAGGGAAAGGTTATCTTAAACAACTTCAGCTTAGGTCTTGCCCTTCTAGGAATTTATAATCTAAGTATTCCTTTCTTTTTTCATTATCTAGTCTTCTGGATTCTACCCAGTGACTGTCCTGTGATTTCTCTGGCTTTGGAAATGGGAGTCAAGGCCTCCCAATGGCTGTCCATTAGCTGTATTTCCTATGTGCCCCTGGCTGGTTGCCTGGGAACCTAGGCCTTCTGGGCTGGCTCCAGAGGATAGAGTGGTGGTCTTAGAGACTTGCAGAGATAGGTTTGGCTTTGTGTGGTTCCTTGACCTGGCAAGGGAGCCTCATAGAAAGGTGGCCCTAGTCCTGTAGTTGGGTTAAGATGACTTTGGGTGCTTTTTACACAGCCTTTAGACATTATTTGGACCAGGGATTCTTTTTTGCTTTGTAACAAAACTGGGGACACAATGTAGTTTTCCTTTTTAGCTTCCTTATAACTAGGTAGAATGATTTTCTTTGCTATTCTTGTCCATTTTCCACCAGGCTTGGAGCCATACAGTATCACAGCAAAAACTGGCAGTCCATCCCCCTTCATTTTGCCAATGAAGAGAGTCTTCAGGAGGTATCAAAGCTCCTGGATTCTCTGCTTTCTAGTTTGTTTTATTTTGGTTTTTTGCCCTGGATGGTAAAAGGAGGTGCATGGCTTGTTGGCTTCGAGGTAGCGTGTTGGCTGGGCATTGGGGTAGTTGAGTGGGGCGCTAATCCTTTTGGGTAATCCCGTCCCTGGAGGCTCTAGACTCGTTAGGCCCATGCTCTGGGTCAGGTGAGAGCACTGTCCCTTTTGAGCCAATGTGGTCTTGTTCTTAGCATCATTGCAAGGCCGCTCATGGACATGTGCAGGGCTGCACTTGGCTCTGGAGGGGTCACAAAGGATATTATGAGCTCACTATCACACCACACGCGTGAAATGTTGAAGGAACCAATGGAGGCAGTTCCAAGACAAGTTGCCCAGGTGACCAGCATAGGCTGTGTTTATAGCAGCTTGTCTTGGAAGTTCTCAATGTGGGCAGGGAAGATTTCACCCTGGATCGTTTTCCTCTCAATACCCATCTTATTTCTGGGCCATTCCGTAAGAATGCCTTTACTTTAAAAAGAGGAAAAGAAGCCCTTTGAGGAGTAAGTACTGTATTAATCCAGAAAATCGACACAGACAAGGCTTTTAAATGTTTCATGGATTTTTCAGGTTGCTACTGGCTGGGTCAGGGCATTCAAATTGACAGCTCCTTTTTGGAGAAAAGACTGTGAGAAGCCTGTATTCTTGTGAAATCTGTACAATAGGAAGCTTTAGTGAGACCTGCATTTATGCCTGGTCCAGGCTTTCTGGTCCTCCGTGTCTTTTTTTTTTTCCTTTGCTTTTTTTGGTGAGGCAGTTGGGGTTAAGTGACTTGCCCAGGGTCACACAGCTAGTGTCATGTGTCTGAGACCAGATTTGAATTCAGGGCTTCCTTACTTCAAGGCTGGAGCTTATCCACTGAGCCACGTAGCTGCCCCTCTCTGTCTCTTCTGGTGCCATTTTTATTTCTGATCACATTTGACATCAATCTTAGAGGCTGAATCAGAGCTTTAGGAGGCTGAGTGATATAGCAAGAGCTCTGGGTTGGCAGTGCAGACCCAGGTCTGAATTCCTGCTCACCTGTTGAAGTCCCCATGTGACTTTGAGCAAGTCACTTAACCTTTAACACAGGGTTTCAGTTTCCTCCTATAAAATAAGGGGGTTAGATTCCATGGTTTCTAATCCAATGAAAATACTACTTTGGAGCCTGTAAACCTTATTAGTAAGGTGGTTGGGGAATGGGGGAGGGGGAGGCCGGCAGGATTTAGGAACATAGAAATTTTTCTCCTTTGCAGATTATCTTTGCAAACCTGAGGACAACATCTACAGTATTGATTTTACCCGATTTAAAATTCGTGATCTGGAAACAGGGACGGTGCTCTTTGAGATTGCCAAACCTTCTGCTTCAGGTAGGCCACCCCATTCTTGTGGGAGGCAGCTGCTCCCTCTCCTTTGGGGTAAAGTTGGGCTGTAGGGCAATGGATGCTGCTGGAACCTGCAGTTATTGCCTCCTCCTATTTAGTTCCTCACCATTTGGGAATACTAGTGTCCCCTGTTAAGGTGACCAATATCCTACAGCATGCTGGACATATGGCAGCATCAGGTCGCCAGACCCCCTATTGTCACATGGTAGTCAGGTAGTCATTGAAACTAGGCTGTCTTGGGGAAACTCACACTCCTTCTCAAAGGGATCTGGAAAGGCTGCTGTAATCAATCAGGGTCACACTAGAAGGTCATTCTATTCCCTTGACTTCCTTTCCTTTGCTGTCTTCTCCCTCAAATGTTTTCAGGGTTTGTTTTTTTCCCTCCAGGAATCCAAGTTTATATCCCAACTCTCCAGCCTCCCAGAGAAGCCCCAGGAAACTCCTGGAATCATCTTAGGGTCCCCCTGGTTCTTCAGGATTAGCTCAGAGTGGGAACTCCCTAGGTTAAGGACATAGCCCGAGTACCCCTCTTCCTGGTGTGACTGGGTTAAGGCATTTGGAACGTCTAGTGGGAGGTGTTTAGTGCCCCCTGCAGCTGTCGAATGGTTCGAATAACACAAGACTCCCCCAGCCTGGGGTCTTGCCAAGGCACTTCCTCATTTGGGTTGGTCCTCACTGGGACCCTGTGAAGTAGGGTCAGGCAGCCCAGTAGTTCCATGTTTTTCACTGAGGCCTGTGTAGTCTGGTGACTATCAGGGTGGGTGAGTGCCCGCTTAGAGCTCTGTTCCGTACCTTGTGTCAGCCTGGGCTTGGAGGACCTTTTCCTGGAAGTTGAGGGTTTTCATGCCAGTTCACCCCTTGGTCTCTTCCCTTTCTGGCAGGCTTCCTGCTGGGCAGGTCTGCCTGTCTGGGACCTAATCCCTTGCCTCCTCATCATTACTCCCTGCTGACTCTTTCTAGTGAGAGGACCAGCTGGTGTCGGTGAAGATGATGCCACGGCCTGACACCATCAGTGAGGCTTTGCATTGTCTCACCTGTTCTTCCTTTCCACTCTCTCTGGCTGGCAGGTCACCAGTGGAGGGCAGTCTTTGGCCAAGGGACAAAATCAGACCCATGATTCACCTGACAGTGGAGCCCATGACACCAGCTGCACTTGTGTTGTCCCCCGCTGAGCTAACTTGCCCCAGACAGGAGAGTCATCTCTTACCTCTACCTATCAACTGGTCCTCACTCACTTTGTCTCCTTTTTCCCTTGCCTCTTTGCTCTTTCAGACCAAGAAGAGGAGGAGGAGGAGGAAGGTGGAGAAGTAGACACCAGTGCGGGACGTTTTGTTCGGTATCAGTTCACGCCCGCATTTCTCCGACTCCGAACAGTTGGGGCTACGTGAGTAACGGGGGTCGCTGATTGGAGGGCCCCCCTATGCACTCTGCACCCCCCTCCCTGCCATCCTAGGCTGGGGCTTGGGTAGGAAGGGGCCCTACGTGAGGAGAGGTGGTGCTTACACGGGTGTGTCTTTCAGGGTGGAGTTCACTGTAGGAGACAAGCCAGTGTCCAACTTCCGAATGATTGAACGGCACTATTTTCGGGAGCGGTTGCTGAAAAACTTTGATTTTGATTTTGGATTCTGCATCCCCAGTAGCAGGAACACATGTGAACATATCTATGAGTTTCCTCAGCTCTCCGAGGATGTCAGTATGTATTTCCTTCCTTCCTTCCTTCCTTCCTTCCTGTAAATCCAAGCCCTTCATTTTATATGTGAGGAAAGTAAGGCCTGGAGTGAAGCCCCTTGCCTGTAATAAGGCTGAGTGGACATGTCCTTTCCTAGTTGCCATCCATTCCCTCCTTCCGAGCTTTTCTCATGCCCACCTTTCTAAGGCTCAGCTTTCTCTCCTGTATTCCTGGAGCACCTGGCTTGGTCTCTTGCTTTGTGGCCTTCTCTTCTACCTTGTGTTCCACATATCTGCATGTGTGCTGGGCTCCTTGGAGATCAGGACTCTTGTGGGTTTGTCGTGGTCTCCCAAGCACTTGGCCCAATGCCTGGTACCTGTTGTTCAGTCATGTCCAACTCTTTCTGACCCTATGGACCATTGTGTCATGGAATTTTCTTGGCCATGTGCTGGAGTGGTTTGCCATTTCTTTCTTCAGTGGATTAAGTAGGCAGAGGCTAAGTGACTTGCCCAAGCTCACACAGCTAGTAAGTATCTGAGGTCACATTTGAACTCGGGTCTTCCTGACCCAAGGCCCAGCCCTGTATCCATTGAGTCATCTAGCTACCTCTGCCTTGTACCTAGTAGGTGCTTAATAAATGTTGACTGGATTAGATTGAATTGCCTAGGGCCGCGTATCAGATGCCTTATCCTAAGAGTCTTCTCCATTGGGTCTGTTCCTAATTCCTTACGTTGTTGATGTCATTGGGTTATGGGGGAATATTAAGGTTTGACCACAGAGCTTCCCTTGGCTTGCTGCCTGTGTTGAGGGGTGGAATGAGAAGGGGAGGGAAAGCCATGTTTCCAGAGTTCCTGTTTGTGAATGTCATCGCTCACGAGTAGCTCTGACGGCGTCTTCCCCGAGCTTGCCGCCTCCTCCCCAGTTCCCTGCTTTTCTCTTCTCGCCTTGTTGCTGCTCAGCTCCACACTCAGAACTCCAGGCATAGATGGAACCAGTGGGCCTGACTGCCAACAAGGAAGGAGGGAGGACCAACCAGGTGTGGTCAAGACTGGCCCCCGTAGGAGATGAGGAGCCATTGTGGGCCCTGGAGGCCGCTTGGGATGTGCAGAAGTGGTATGCTGGGCATAGCAGTGAGAAGATGACCAAGAGTAGATGATTTAGTCTCTGCCTTCATGAAGGTTCCAGTCTAGTAAAGGGACAAGACCCCGACTGAGAATTTTAACGCACAGTAATGCCTGAGAGTATTAGAAAGATGCAAAACAAAGTGCTCTGGGTGATTCACGAGAGAAGGGCTTTGTGCAGAAAGTTCCCAGGCTTCCAGGAGGATGTGGCATCTGAATCGGGCTTTATAGGATGACAGGCCTTCAGAGGAGAAGGGAGGAGAGTTCAGGCAGAGGAAGGGCATGAACATGGTGTGCACAGTGTGAATGTGGTTGAGGAGAGGTTGATGAGGCTGCAAAGATGTGGAGGGCTTGAGAGAGTAGCCACTGCCTCCTGGCCCAGGGCTCTGAGGCACGCTGCAGGGCCTGGCTGGGTTCTTCAGTCCCCTCTTCCTGACAGACCAGAGCCTACTCTGAACACTGGAGCACTGGTGATCTGAAGTCACAAATACCCAAAATCAGATGTTGGGCCTTGGTGTGGTCTCCCCTGCAAGTGTTCTTGAGGCGACGTGTCTGGTTTTAGTCACGGTTGTCTGACTCAGGCTGCCTTTGCTCCTGGGACGGGTCATTTTCTTGATAGTCAGGGTCTGTCTTAGGCTCTTAGAAGTGGAGCTGAGCTGGGCATTGAAGGCCAAGGCAGGACCTGCCCTGTGCCCTGAGCTATGGCAGTGTGCGGTGACATCCGCTGATAAGATGGGCTTCCTGTTGCTAAATGTGCTGTAGACATGGATGAGGGGCCAGTTGGTTGTCATTTTAGAGAGAGAGGGATGTGGTATTGAGAGCACTTGGAGTAAGGAAAGTCCTGTGTTCAAATCCTAACAAGTCATACCCAGAAAGCTGGGCTGTTTCTGGTTGTGAAAGGGCCTTAGATCCAAACAAAGCAGTGTTTTGTATTCCTCCTGAGCAGGGGAGTGACTGGTCAGACCACTGCTGTGGGAATATCACTTTGGCAGCTATGTGGAGGACAGAAGGGAGAGAGAGATTGGAAGCCAGGGAGACCATGGAGGAGGCTAATGTTTACATAGCGTTTTAAAAGTTTGCAAAGCACTTTTCATCTATTATCCCTTCTGATCTTCACATCTACCCTGGGTGTTGGTGTCATCCCCCTTGTACAGATGAGGAAACGAGGCTGAAATGACTTTTCTGGGGTCACACAGCTCAAGTGTCTGGGACAGGATTTAAACTCTGGGTTTTCCGGACTCTAAGATGAGCATTCCATTTACTGTATGTTTGTAGGAGGTTGAAAACCAGAGAGTGAACCTGGAGCCTCAGGTCAGGGCCATCCGCCCGTTAAATCCAGATCATCCAGATCCCCCAGTCCTCAATGAGCATGTCCATGGCACTATGTTCACTGTTGCTGCACTAATCACCTTGGTTTGTCCTTGTAGAGAGAGAAGGGTGGTCGGAGGTAGCTGATTGATGTGTGGGTGAGGGCAGGAGGGAAAGTGAAGGCTCCAGGAGGATTCCTGGGTTCTGCAGCTGAGGGGCTGGGAGGCTCCTCGTGCCCTTGGGAAGATAGAGGGTGGCTCTAGGGGAAATGAGCCTCAGTTTTCTTTTTTGTAGAATGGGTAGTATTATATGAGTAACACCTTAGAGGGGGCTTGTGAGAAGATACAGGTGAGGCACTTTGCAGAGCTTCCTGCTAACAAAACTGAAGAACTCTCTGTCCTGAGTGGGTTCTAGGAACTTCTACCTAATGAGTATTAGCCCAAACAATAGCATCTTTCTGTGTGGCTCTCAAAAGACTGGGTGAACATTAGCTCACTGAGGTTTTGTAGAGATGGTGCTTTGTAAAAGTGTGTGAGATGCTCTCATTCATTCAGTAAACATTTATTAGGTGCCAGGTACTGGGCTAAGCACGAGGGATACAAAAAGAGGCTGCCCTGGACATCAGGTCCCACCACACCGACTGGGTCCCCAAAAGTAGACTACTTGGCAAATGTTAGTGGTATAACAGGAATGAACGAACGCTTGGAGTGGCGCCTCACCTTTCTGCCCTCTCCCCTCGGTTCACAGTTCGCCTCATGGTGGAGCACCCCTATGAGACTCGCTCGGACAGCTTCTACTTTGTGGACGACAAGCTGATCATGCACAACAAGGCTGACTATGCCTACAACGGGGGGCAGTAGCTTCGGGAAGGAGGGCGAGGTGGTGCGCCCGGTGTGCCGAGGGGACCACGCCTCAACACCCATGCCCACAGCCCACCTCCCGGCGGAGCAGCGCAGGGCCAGCAGCTTCTTCTCCACCACGGGAAATGCCCAGCAGGGCTGCTCTTTCCTTCCCCAGCTCCTTTCCTCCCTTTCTTCTTGCTGTCCCTTAGATCTTGAAGGTACTCTTGTTGAATAACGGGTTAGGATAAGGCCTTTTTAAGCCAGTTAAAGAAGAAAGTTTATTTCCACTTGGTTTTAGCTGTGTCCACTTTTGTGCTTTTCAGCTGAGCCCTCTCCTAGAGAACTCCATTCAGTGGGAGGCCTCTGGGGGGGCTTCACAGACAGTTAACAGCCAGATTTTATTGAGCAGAGTCGGGTCGCTGTGGAAGCCTTCAGGTTGGGCCTTTGCCTCCGTTATTCCTCCTCACAGTCTTAGCGCTTTGACTGGCATAGTCTTTTCTGACTACTTGCCCCCATACCAGCCCGAAGGAGCTTGGGGTGGGAGGAACAGGAGGGCAGGGCAAGGCAGGGCTTTGGCCTAGGGATGGGTGGGTCATGAGGCCAGTTACTAATTTCCTGGAGAAACCTGGCTTTCTGTTTGGTTCTCAGGAGCCTTGGTCAGGCTTGGCATCTTCTGGAGTCAGATTGAGGTCTCAGCCTCTCCAAAGGGAAATTCCCAGGCAGGACTCCTCTCTTCAAACTGGCAGTGCCTTCTTGTCCTCATTTTAGGGGAGCTTTAAACCCATGGCTAATTTGGCTTCTGCCGCCATATGTGCTCATTTCATCTCATTAGATAGAATATGTTGATTTTATTTGTGGGGTAATAGTTTACTCTGAGGCTGGAACAACCTCTTGATACCCAGTCTTTCCCCCACTGTATTATTTGGAAAAACTCTGAACTTCTCAAAGAGGTTTTATACTTTGACAATGGAGTTTTCAGTTTATCTGATCTGCGTCTGGACTTAAAGTAGTATTAATTCAGGTTCCCAGAACCCATTGTGGTCATCAAGTGAGCAATGCTTAGATGCCAGCACCATCTTAAAAGAAGGGGATTTAGTCTGTGTAATGTGGCCTGGAGCATTGGAGGAGGAAAGCATGGACACTGACTGTCCATATGAAGTGACCTCTGAACTTAAACTTGATTTTCCACTAAAATTGTGGGAACCTTCCTTAGCTGTCAGACCAAAGTAAAGGTTGTGGCCATTGTAACTATTGGATGAGAGAGTGTGTGGTTTGTGGGGAGGATGGGACAGGTTAAATTGGCCTCTCAGACCTTGCCCGTCTCACTGGGTATCCCTGTCTTCAGACTTTTGTCCATTGATTAGTTCTTCTCTTTAGCCGCAAACAATTAGATGGTTGTTTGGGTAGTTTTATGGTGCTTGACCAAAATTCTTCATGGATTTTTAACAAGCAGGTTGTTGCTGCTGGTCACCAGTCTAAAGTCTAGTCTAAAGATGTCTAGTGGAAGTCCCCAGAGGGGTCGTCAGTGAAAGCCCTGAGAGAGCCACTAACACTAGGGTGGGCAGAGCAGTCCCCCTGATACGAGTCAGATGTCGTTCCTGGAAAGGCAGGACTGCTATTTTTGCTTGGATGTCTCTGCCTGTATTTGCCAGAGCCACTCTGGCCATTGCATGGTTACTAGGATGGCTCCTAAAACCTGGGTGGTGGGGAATGGGTCAAGACTGTCTTTCCTGGGGCTGCGCATGCCCTGCGCCTTGACTACATCCCCTGCCCCAAAGGCTCGTTTGCTTGGAGACTGGGCTTGAGAGCTGAGCGAGGGAAGGGGCCATCTGCCTGCTGGGGAGATAGATCCTGAGACGAGAGCTGAGCAGAAATCCTGGTGCCTTACCTGTGACTTTGCCCCAGTGCCACTGGGGCAGTGTTCTTGCTGTGGTTTCCTCTCCTTTTTTTCATGGGCAGATGTTACTTCTGCCTTATGACCTTTGGTTTTCCATTTTAGCTGTGCCGATGGGCTGTAGACCCAGACTGGTCTCTTTTCCCCCCCAGTAGAGTGCTCACAGGGGTCATCTTTGGGAGCTATGCATATCACCATTCATACCACCGTCTTTCAGCCTTACACTGTGTCCCTGGGGTTCTGCACTCCATCCCTTTTGCCTGGATGGATGGATCAGAACAGACTGTTTTGTTTTAGAATGGACTTCCTTTTTCATTGATCTGTCCATGTGCAGTGTTCACTTTCCCTGGGAACAGGAGGCTGGAGAGGACAGGTGTTTGAGGCTATGGGCTGGTTTGGCTGCCTTGTTCCCCTGGAACTTCCATTGGACTAACAGAGACTCTGGGAACCCCGTAAGTGAAGTAGGAAGTCATACTCCATTGCTAAGGAACCAGTATTGGTGTCCACTTTCTGGCTTGTATCCAAAGGTGGTCAAGAGATGCTAGGAAACTTGGCCACTTTGAGATCTGATGTGAGGGTCAGTTTAGAGTCACTCTGTAGCTAGGGTGAGATGAGATGAGAACATCTCAGTTCTCTATTAAGTAGTTAAGCCAGACACCAAGTCCCTAAGATTTTGAGACTAGCGTTTGGGCTCTCGGTGGCAAGAATGGAAAAGCAGAGACCTGCCAGGAGAGGCCTATCCCCTGTGAGGGCTAGTTTCTGAGATACATTGCATTCCAGGAGATGTATGGGGACATCATGTGGATTCTGTCGTCTGGGTCTCTTTGTCCTTTCCCTCCCGTCCATTGTATTTCACCTTAGAGCATTACACCAGCCAGTCCTCTACAGAGCCTTAGGCCCAAGATACCCTTCTCCAAAGAAGATCGTCTTTTGTTAAGTGAAATATCCTAAAGGGTAAGTAGAAAACAGATGAAGATAGATTTGGGCCAAAGTTGGGTGACTTACCCTCACCTCATAGCTTGAAGCTAGTGATCTTTTGGAAATAATGCAAGAATACGTGCCTCCTGAAAGACAGTCTCTTTGGCCTTTGTTATCAGATGACAGTGTTGGTGTTTGGGGACTTCTCAAGCAACACCTGGTTGGGTCTTCATAAAGAGAGGGGGGCACATCTGTAAGTGTTTACTGCAGGGCATTTGAATGGACAGTTTTCACTTGATGAAGAATACATACAAGACATGTTACTTTTTGATATCATAGTTGTGACCAGCACACCAGGGAGATGGGTCACTCACGAGCCTCGTAGGTGATGTCCTTCTCTCTTTGGGGGCCAGCTGGCCCAGGGATTGGGGCAGAGGGCTCAGAAGGCAGTCCAGCATGTGCTCTTGCACTGGGCACCAATATTCCCAAATGCAGAAATTACCTCCTGGGATTGTGAGCCCAGTGACCTGAGGCACTCTATTGCTGCCATCTCCATGTTACTCATTTCTTTTGTACAAGAAGGATCTGGTGGTTGGTGGATTTTCCCTCTTGTTTTACAAAGGATCATGTAAATTCATTGAAGTTGTAAAATTCTATTTTTTCCATGTAAATCTATTTTCACAGAATGTAAGAAGCATCAGTGACCTGGTCTATACCTCTCCCTTTCTTCCCTGCTCTCTCCACCTGAGACCTTTCTTCCATTGTAATGTCTCTGTGTCCAAAGTGAACTAGGTGACTTATTTGTATAAAATGTTATTTTGTCACAATCGATAGGAATAAAAGGACATTTTCACAGCATGTGTCAGGAGTACTGTTTCTCACCTTCCTGTGATCTCTTTATTAAGGGGCCAGCATGATCTCTTGACTAGCGATGATATAACAGTACAGAGATGAAGATGGTTTGCTGTGGCTTTATTTGTGATCATGTTTCTGGGAAGAGACTTTTGGAAAAAGTTGTACAAGTGGGACATAATTACAGTTTGATTCTGCATGACTCAACTTTTATTTATTCAAAATGGATAAAGCCGTCTTTGGAAGTTCCTCTACCACTCTGTACTTGCTCCATGTACCACCTCCTTCTGATAGAGAGGGAAAACACTGGTCTTGAGGTAAGAAGACCCGGGTTCCAGTCCTAACTCTGCCATCTAATATCTGTGTGCTTCTGGGCAAGTAACTTAACACCCCTGAGCTTCAGAACTCATTTTAACCCTGTCCTGGTCAGACCACATTTGCATTGGATTGTTTTTTGTACCATATCTGAAGGGAGAACATTGACCACAGCCCTAAAGGTCAGCAGGATGGTAAGCGTGCTTAGAGACCATGCCAAATGGAGATCAGTTAAAGGAACTAGGAGTGTTTACTCAGGAGAAGAGAAGGGGGAGCATGATGGCTGTTGTACCATCCCAGGAGGGTAGACCTGGGAGCCAGTGCATGGAAACGTACATGTGGCAAGTTTTGGCTCAGCCTGAGGGAAAATTTGCTAGTAGTCCCCCAGTGGAGATTTCCAACAGGAAGACTGCTTGAGGGCATGTGGTTAGAAGCCATCCTATTCGGGGCCTGGCAGGATCGGAGCTTCCAATTTTGAGATTCTGGGATTAGTAACATCCATCATGAGGATCTAACAAGGCGGTAGCCTGAGAGAGCACCTTCTGCTGGACTGATGCCTCAAGCTAAGGAATGACATCTGGGAGCTTTGGTCATGGGCTCTCCTGCTCTTTTATCACTGCCATCACCGCACACTTAACCTCCGTCCCAGTATCAGAGTTATTCCACTGTGTCCTGGGAGCCTCTTAAAATTCAGAAGTATGAGAAGTCACTTCAGTTAGGAACACCTGGTTAAAGAACAGTGGTCATTCAAGCACCTTGCTGGAGACCTTTGCAACTCTAGATTCCAAGCTATGAGTGCCACTGAGTAGGCCCAGCACTGGCAAGGCTGGTATGCCCACTTCTGCTTGGCTGCTCAGAGTCCTACACCACCTCACCCAATCTGCTGCCAGCTCCACAACTGTCCTTCCCCACTGGAGGGAAAAATGGACTTAAAATGTATACTCCTGTTACAGAATTGGGGAGTTTGTAAAGGACCTTAGAAACCTTTGATCCAGCCTATCCTCATAACATCTTTGATAAGGGGTCCCCTTTATTTAAATAACTCCAGGAAGGAAGAACTCACTGCTTTTGGGGCTTGCCCATTCTGATTTGAGGCAGCTTGAATTATGCAGAAGTTTTCTTTAGGTTAGATGTAAATTTGCCTCTTTTTCATCCACGGCCTCCACTTCTACTCTTTGGTCACTAAGACTTGGCACTGGGGGTATAGAAAAACTATCAACCCTGCCCCCTAAAAGCTTGATATACTGTGAGAAATAACACAG